TGAGGATATTCAGGGGCACCTGGGTGGCTCAGGTGGTTAAGCATCAGACTCCTTGCTTTAGTTCAGGTCGTGATCTCAGTGTTGTGAGACGCAGCCCCCACTGGGCTCCACACTCAGCATGGAGTCGGCCTGAGGATTCTTTGCCTCTCCCTCTGCCTCTCCCCCTGCTTGCATGTGCTCTCTCTCTCTCTCTCCCCAAATGAATAAACAAGATCCTTTAAAAAATTTTAAAAAAATAAAAAGAATAGGGATATTCACTGCAATGTTATTGTAGTAGCAAAAAATTGGAAACCATCTAAATATTATTTAGTAGCAGTTATTAAGTAATTTACGAAAAATATGTCTAATAGAATTCTATGCAACCGATACATATATTCATTAGGCTTCAGTGAACAACATACAGTTTCCCATGCCTGTTGGCACCAGCATAAGGTACCCTGTAACATCCCAGTTAAGAACTTTAACTCCGACATGGAAAATCTTCCAAGCACAACTGGCATTTACTAATTAATTAACATTATGAATGTTTTGTTAGAATATTTATGAGGCTGAGACTGAGGCTAGATTTATGGGAACACAAATCCTTCTCCTGTGTTCTTGCTTTTCTATTTTAAAAGCTTTCTATTTTCACTTTTGAAGAGCAAATGTCAGTCAAATGTCTACAAATAACCCTGCTCAAAGAATAAGATTCCCTGAAACTCTTATTTAGAATGTACTGCCCCTCCATATTGATTCTGTCTGTAAATAAAACAGTCTTCAGTACGAGAATGGATCAATCACAAAAATCTTTGAACTGCCTGGCTTTATGTTGTTCAAAAAATGTATCAAATTACAATTGTTCAGTTAGAATTGATCTCTCCCAAGTCTGTACCTGCAGTGTAGCTTCCAAATGAGAGTGTGATGGCCTGGATGGAAAGTGCTTTTCTTATAACTTTTCAAATCTCACATAGATTCATATGGCCCTAAAGAATATATATATATATATATATCTCCATGTATACATGCATATGTGTGTATGTGTATGTAACTAAATTGATTTTTAATGTTCAAAAGAAATTTGGGATATAGATTTCCCATGGCCGTTTTGTCTTATTTCTGACTGTATAGCAAAAGTCTTCTGAGTATCTGTTTTTATTTAATAAATTAAAAGAGAAACTGTCATTTCTTTGCACGTCTATGATGTTTCAGGCCAGCACTGAGAGACTGATACACATTATGTTATTTAATTTTCCTGGCAACGCTATGGAGTAGATCTTACTATCTTTAGTTTGTAGTGGAGGAAATAGAAGCTCAGAGAGGTTAAGTACATTGCTCAAAGTCATATAGCTCATAAATATTACTGCTGGGATTCAAAACTATTTTTATGATTAAAAACTTTAGCCAACAGGGGCGCCTGGGTAGCTCAGTCGTTAAGTGTGTGCGCCTTTGGCTCAGGTCATCATCCCAGCGTCCATGGATCGAGCCCCGTATCAGGCTCCCTGCTCAGCGGGAAGCCTGCTTCTCCCTCTCCCACTCCCCCTGCTTGTGTTCCTGCTCTCGCTATCTCTCTCTCTGTCAAATAAATAAATAAAATCTTTTAATAAATAAATAAATAAATAAAATAAAAAAATAAAAACTTTATCCAACATACCTTAAAAAAAGGTGTATGTGGCATAATTTTATTTACTTTATCTTTACCGTTTAAAATACTTTTAATACTGGGGGCACCTGGATAGCTCAGTTGGTTAAGCATCCAACTTTTGATTTCATTTCAGGTGTTGGTCTCAGGGTCGTGGGATGGAGCCTGAAGTAGGGCTCTGCGTTCAGCAAAGGAGTCTGCTTGGAATTCTTTCTTTGCCTCCCTCTGCCCCTTGCCCCCCCCCTCAAATAAATAAATAAATCTTAAAAAAAATAAAATAAAATACTTTTAATTCTGGTAAGGCAGGTTATTAGCTTCCCAGGTTATGAACCATTATGCACTTGCCACCTAAATATGGCAATTTTATTTTCTAGACTTCCAAAGTATGTTTTCTTGCTATATCCAGAAGCTTCCAAATCAATCACAAACATCTTAGAGAGAGATAAAAACTCTTCTACTTCTCAAGTTAATCAAGCCCTCTGTGTGTTCCTAGAACTGCCTGTCCTTACCAAGTTCATTCCCAGAATCATTCGCAATCAGTTGTTATGAAATTAAAGATGGAAGTCTAATTATGAAAAAAATGGAAATGTGCATGCTTTTACCATGTACATATTTAACACAGGATGGGTATAGATATGTATATATATATATATATACACATTATATATATACATACACATATATAAATATATGTATTTATTTAAAATATATATAAAATATAAAATATATTTTTATATTGCCTCCTAAAAAGTAATCTGTTTAAATTTTTTATGGGTAAACATCCTAATAAAGTTTCAGATTGTTCTGACATATCATGAGTAATTAATATTATAATTTCATTCCTATTGTTTGGAAGATCAGAGTAAAACTAGCAAAGCTAGTAGTTTTTAAAAAGGCAGATGAGACAAATGTATCATTAATAAATGGTAAGGTTAAAGTATAATTTACTGTATAAAAATTAAGTTTAGGGCACGTGGGTGGCTCAGTCGGTTAAGCCTCTGCCTACGGCTCAGGGTCCTGGGATGAAGTCCTGCATCAGGCTCCCTGCTCAGCAGGGAGTCTGCTTGTCCCTCTCCCTCTGCCCCTGCTGATGCTCTCTCTCTCTCTCACATAAATAAATAAAATCTAAAATAAATCAATAAATATAAAAATTAAGTTTAAATGAACTATTTAACTAGAATTTATATATATGCATTTATGTATACATATATAAATATATAATATAGTGAGAATTTAAGATTGCAGTGTGTGTGGAGGGGTTTGAGGTTAATCTCATTTATCTTTTTCTCTATTTGACTCCTATTTTAAACATTTGCTGGAACTAATGGAAATAAACTTCTAGTTACAATGGTGATAAATCCATCTACTAAGATAACTTTCTTTTGGGGAATTTTTTTTCTGTTTTGGATTTTCCAATCATTATTAACCATCCAGAAATGGGGAAATTCAAGAAAATAAAGTAATAGAACAAATAGAGCCCTAACAGGACACCTGTGGAGCCCCCAGACTCGCAGCCACGTCTCAGCAGTCCAGCTCTGCTCGGATTCCTGCCCAGGGACCAGCAGGACTGATTGTGCCACTTTGTCCTGAGAGTGGGCTTAGCTGGGCCTATCCACTTAGCAAGGTCCCTTCGACCTTGCTATTTCCATGTTTGGGGGAAGAACTAACAACCTAGGCCTGTGTACCTCAGTGCACGGCAATCACCATCCACGAGGACTGGGTCAGGGTGGTCACTGAGGTCCACCAACCAGGGGAAGCCAGAGATTTCTGTTCAAAAGATATAGTAGGGAATCTTGCAGTCCCTCAGGGGACAATGAAGTATGTTGCTTCAGAAGCTGAAAGCAACCATCATGATAACAAAAGAGCAAACCTTAGCATAATTTGACACTGATGAAAACCCAGGAGAGAGAAAGAAACCACCTGGGTCCTTGCTGATTTCGGTGAGTTGCCAAAACAGATTCTGAAGTCCATCTCCTCCTTGCACTTGAGACATTCTATTCTGTTACATCTTACTGAGAGTAGGATGTTACTGTATCTCAGCAGAAGGAAAAAAAAAATTCTTGTTTACAAAAGCATCGCAAAGCACTAATTCACAGTCACAGAGTTTTCATTATGTCAAGGTGAGGTGATTGATGTTATTTAATTGACTTTAACAGTGCATCTTCTATCGATTTTCTTCTTGATGCTTTGCAGTACAAGACTTGACAAGTGACAGCTTTTTTTTTTTTCAAAATTAGGTTGTTGAAGATGGTGATGAAATTCACAAATGTTTTTTCTGCCTTGATTAAGTAGGGGAGATATGCAGGAGGCCAACTTCCTGCCAATCACTCCCACTAAGCTCAGCTGAAAGCAACCTCCTCTCAAGACAGTCTTGCCAGCCTGAAAATCACCACCCAGTGCTCGGTACAGTTGTTTGGATTCATGACAAAATACTGATTGAGGGGGGTGGAGTGCCTACTTACTTAGAAGGAAAGCCAGGCATAAGCCAAGATGAACCGGACAAAATAAAGTGAAGTAGACAGTGAGGCCATAATTCACCTTAAAAACAGGTTAAGGGAAGAGAAGCTAAAGGCAGAGAAGGACTGTGTTGTTCCCTGAAGACACTTAACACCAGTACAAGGAGGAGGACGCAGGAACAAGAAGCCACGAAAATGTCAAAATATCAGATTCATCATATGAGATGGAATTAGAATTGTGAAAATTAAGCCACATCAGGCTTTCAAGAACCAAGTCCAAAAAAAGATGTAAAATCTAAGTCATGATATTCATAAAGATACATATATATGAATATATATTATGAATATATATGAATATATTATATATGATATATAAATTCATATATATCATATATAATATATATTCATATATATTATATATTCATATATATTCATAATATATATTCATATATATTTATATATGAATTTGCCAATCACATTGTGCCACACAGTCATCACAGTCATTTTTCAGGGGACCTCAGCCCCACACCTGCCATTATGTTTTGGAGGTTGAGGGTTTAATATGTGGTATTCTATTCCCAGTATCTAGTTCCCATGCCACATTCACTCTCCCTCCCTCCCTCCAGCCAGCCCTTCCTTCCTTCCTGCCGGCCTACCTGCCTGCCTGCCTTCCCTCTCTCTCTTTATTTTTGCCTAAGTTTTCTATCTGAATTTGGCATTTCCTTTCACCCATTTAGTTGCGATGGCACTGGATCAGACCTTGATTAAGGTGACCAAGGGAATGAAGAGGGGGCAGTATTATATATATCAGGATAAGCTGCATTGTTTATAATTTTGAAAGAATTTCTTCTCTGAACACACATTCTGAACATTCCTGAGGGAGTGCTTGTTTGTCTCATTGAGAATCATTGCCTAGGTGACCTGCGCGCCGCCTCGCCTGCGGTGCCCCTCGCCGCCGCCATGCTCTCCGTCCGCGTCCCGCTCGCCACCCCCGTGGACCCCCAGCAGCAGCCGCTCCAGCTCTCGCCGCTCAGGGGCCTCAGCCTGGAGGACGAGGAGAACACGCCCCCGAGTCTCAGCGGGACCCGCGTGCTGGCGGGCAAGACGGCCGGGAGGATCGCCCCGGAGCCCGCCGAGCCGAAAACTAAGGTGCTTGGCCGCCGCGTGGAGGACGAGCCACTACTCAGAGAAAACCCTCGTCGCTTTGTCATCTTCCCCATCGAGTACCATGATATTTGGCAGATGTATAAGAAAGCTGAGGCTTCCTTTGGGACAGCTGAAGAAGTGGATCTTTCCAAGGACATTCAGCCCCGGGAATCCCCGAAGCCTGAGGAGAGATACTTCATATCCCATGTTCTGGCTTTCTTTGCGCCGAGGGCCGGCATGGTAAATGAAGACTCGGTGGGGGAGCCTGGGTGGCTCAGCGCCTCCTTCGGCTCGGGTCGTGGTCCCAGGGTCCTGGGATCGAGCCCCGCATCGGGCCCTGGGCTCCACGGGAAGCCTGCTTCTCCCTCTGCCACTCCCCCTGCTTGTGTTCCTGCTCTCGCTGTGTCTCTGTCAAATAAAATCTTAAAAAAAGGAAAACAAAGAAAACTTGGTGGAGCGGTTAAGCAAGAAGTTCAGATTACAGAAGCCTGCTGTTTCTATGGCTTCCAAATTACCATGGAAAACATCCATTCTGAGATGTATAGTCTCCTCATTGACACTTACATTAAAGATTCCGAAGAAAGGGAATTTCTCTTCAACGCCATGGAGACAATGCCTTGTGTAAAGAAGGAGGCAGGCTGGGCCTTGCGTTGGACTGGGGACACAGAGGCTACCTACGGGGAACGGGTTGTGGACTTTGCTGCGGTGGAAGGAATCTTCTTTTCTGGTTCTTTTGAGTCGATATTCTGGCTCAAGAAACGCGGCCTGATGCCTGGCCTCACGTTTTCCAATGAACTTATTAGCAGAGATGAGGGTTTACACTGTGACTTTGCCTGCCTGATGTTCAAACACCTGGTCCACAAACCTTCCGAGCAGAGAGTGAAGGAAATAATTATTAATGCCGTTCAGATAGAGCAGGGATTCATCAAGGAGGCCTTGCCCATGAAGTTCACTGGGATGAATTGCATGTTAATGAAGCAGTATATTGAGTTCGTGGCAGACCGACTTATGCTGGAGCTAGGTTTTGGCAAGGTTTTCAGAGTAGAAAATCCATTTGACTATATGGAGAATATTTCACTGGAAGGGAAGACTAACTTCTTGTTAGTCTATATAGAAGACTAACTTCTTTGAGAAGAGAGTAGGCGAGTATCAGGATGGGAGTGATGTCAAGTCCAACAGAGAATTCTTTTACCTTGGATGCTGACTTCTAAGAGAAACGAAGATGTGCTCTTATTTTGCTGATTTTTTTCCCCCTTTCTCATCCCCCCCCCAAAAAAAATCAGGTACTTGAAGTGTATCAAACCAGCTACACCATGAATTATCCATAATGGTCATGAATAGTATTGTTAAAACTGTGTAGCTACCTCATAAGCAAGCCTGTTGATTAGTGATGCTAATCGTCTCACCTAGAAAAAAGCATAGACAAAAGCTCCTCGGATTCTTAGGAAAGACCTTGGCCGTGTTTGGCTTTTGCACACAGGCTGGCTGTCTGTGAGTTCGCTGTTGCTCTTAGTGGCAGTCAGGGCTCAACATGTGTGGACCCTGGAGTGAGTCTGATCCAGCAGGATTAATCAGTTACTCCAAGGCCCTTGGGAGGTCTCAGCTTCGGTGCTTCAAAGCAGATTTTTTAAAGTTTACTTACTGATTTGTATATAAAACTGGCACTTTACATACAAATAAACAGAGTTTGTACTGTTGAAATAAAGGCCTGATTTAACCTAATTTGGTTTCTAGCCCAAATGCAAAGCCTTCTATTGACCACTAATGGAAGCTGGTCTGGAATTTACTAGGTGGCCAAAGTCTGTCAAACCTGTGCAGATGAAGCACGTTATTTCTATTCTTTATTTTCTAGAATGAATGGATGTGCTCTTTGATCAACTTCAAAGTCAGCCCTGCACACACCTAGATGTTAGCTAGTTGGTGCCACAAAGAAGACGGGTTGTGGTTTGTATTTTGGAGGCCAGGGCGAGTGTCGTGGAATGAGAGCGAGGGGAAAGGAGCTTCTGACTTAAATCATTGGAGCTTGAAGTGTAATGAAGGCTGTCTGCTGGTCACCTGGGGGTGTGCGAGGGGCAGCATCCTCTTATTTTCCCCAACTTCAAGCTCTTAATGAAGATCTTTAGATCCTTAGCTATAGGATCTGAGATAATATTGTAAATTGATTTTCTGATCATCCTTGCACAAAATGCCCCACTGAGGATCTTGCTCCAATTAATTGGGACTACCAGGACTGAAGTCGGCTCCCCGAAAAGCTGAGCATGTATTCCGATTTGGTTGAATTTGTAAGTAGGTACTGTTGACCTATTTCATTTGTATTTACTACATGTTTTTTAATAATATACTTAATAGAGCTAGTTTGAATTGACCTGCCTTTGTTTCACCCTGGCTTTTCCTTTCCACCCTCCCCAAACAACCCAGCCAGGATGTTAGGTGGAAGGTGGTGGATGATAAGCACTGATCCTTTGGCTGCATTTGTTAACCTGTTGTCTTGTGTTGGCTGATCACTGGCCTGTTGTATTGTCAGTTTTTTCATTTATTGTATAAATTGTCAAATAGTCAATTTAACAATTTCTGTAACAGGGGCTTTCTATCTTTTAAGTTATTGTTACCTAAAGTAAATCCAGATTATGTGGTCCTTACACTTGTGCAACACAAAAGTGAATAAACATTTTTGCCTCGCATAAAAAAAAAACAAAAAAAACAAAAACATTGACTGAAGATTTTTTTTTAAGATTTTATTTATTTATTTGACAGAGAGTGTGAGGGAGAGAGAGTACAAACAGTGAGGAGGGGCAGAGGGAGAGGGAGAAGCAGACCCCCCACCCCTGCTGAGTGGGGAGCCCTATGTGGGGCTCAATCCCAGGACTCTGAGATCATGACCTGAGCCAAAGGTGGATGCTTTAGCCCCTGACTAAAGATCTTGATACATCCTGAAATGCAAATTTGACTAGGAAATGTAAATTTCTAACAATTAAGTGTAATTACACCTTAGTGTGTAGAGCATATAGAGGAAAATTCCGTTGGAGCTCCTTCTGTCTCAAAGTTATCTCCAAAGAAGATAAGTCCTCGAGGTCTGCATTTTGATGGGAGATAAAAGTCAGAAGTCCACATTTGTGTTATTTCTGTTCTACTTATGAAGGTTCAATGGTTTCTCATTCTATACAGGTAGAGCCCAGGTACTCTGCCCACCCCATACAGTGTCCAGTAGTTTTCCCTCCAGAAACTGCTAAAGCAATCCTCCAAAGTTAGTTTGTGATGTTGGCACTAAAACAGCTTTTTGTCTTGTTTGATAATTATGTTTCCCATACAAATTTTTTAAAAATTCAAAACCAATATTAGTTTTCTCCAAAATTCTATAATATAACTAAAACAAAAGGATGGATGGTTTTTAAAGCCTGGGGTGGGAAGGATCAGAGGCCAGGGCAGGAAAGTTTTACAACTTGGAGCAAAGCCTCCCTCCTCCCACAGAAACTGAAAGTTAGGGGGGGAAGCTGATGGTTACATTTCAAAGAGATGGATCCCAGGTCCCTGAGAATGACATTCCTGGGGTGTAAAACTGGCAAGAGACTTTTAAAAAGATTCACATCTGAAATGGGCAGAGAAATGGTTTACAATAAAAAGTTTTCCAAAGGAATTACTCTTAAGAAAAGGGAGTTCAGGGGCCAAGATTCAATAAGAAGCAGCTTGTCTAACATTAGTCAAGTGGAGGAAAACTTTAAGGCTCTCATGGTTACACTGTAAATGTACAGTAGCCTTCACTAAAGCAAGGCAGTATTTATTTCCTTCCTTGACTCAGGGTCCAGCCGTGCATTTTCCATTCAGTACCCACACCTCAAGAAACCATGTTTCTTTCTGTTTATGCTCCTTTCCATCTCTGTAAGAACATGCCTGGGCTACCTCCCTGGTCGCTGGGGACTGTGTGAGGTACATAGAACAGAGGTACTCCCAAGTGACCACAGATGTGTAAGTGAGCCCCTAGTCCAGCCACCCCTCAGACAACCTTGAATCATAATGAATGACTGTTGTTTTAAGCCACCAGCTTTGGGATGCTTTGCTACACAGTAACACTAAATGATAAAACATCCATGAGGTAGGGGCAGGATGAACACTGTGGGAGGCCGCATTCTGCATGAAAATCTATGATGAGATGGGGTAGTGTCCACCCTAAAAGTAAAACAGCCAGTTGTTTTCCAGTAAAGTGGGTTTATTCAAGAATAGCAAAGAAATTGCAATTTGGGACACACATGCTATGGCAAGTCAGGAGATTGATGTGGCAAACAAGGCAAAAGAAACAAATTAAGATTCCTTACAACTTGTCGCCCTTTGACAAGTCCTTGGGATGGGCACAGTGACCTACCTCTAGGATCTCAACTGCCTCAATGTTAATACTTCAGCTTAACATTAGCCTGACTTCCAGGGTCCTATAAATCTCCTTTGACATATAAAAATTTCTTTGCAAACTTCCTTTATCTCTACCCCCACAAGGTAGATGTTAGCAATCATCCTCCAAGCATATGGCCCACTGATCCACATCTCAAGGGTCTCATGACTAAGGTTTTAGTAGACAGTAGTGAGTGATCTTTTCCTAGCAACAGCTAGATCCTCAAGGTCCCAGAAACCTTGCTTCCAGATTCCTTAGAAACTTACACTGTCCCTAACCCCCTCCCAACTTGAAAGTATGTAATGGGCCACTCCTCACAACCCCAAGGTAGCTCTGTCTGCCCCGGGATCCTGTTCCAATACTTTAATAAAACCACCTTTTTGCACCTAACACATCTTCAAGAATTCTCTCTTGGCCATTCACTCCCAGACCCCAATATTTTCACATAAGAGATCAAAGGAAAGGAATATTATAAACAAAAGAAGGAAGCTGGGAAAGGCCCCTTTGAACAAAAGTCATTGGAGGTAACTAGAATTTAAATAAAAAGTTGGGGGTGCCTAGGTGTCTCAATCAGTTTATGGTCTGACTCTTGATTTCAGCTCAGGTCTTGATCTCAGAGTTGTGAGATCGAGTCCTGTCAGGCTCCACCCTAGGCATGGAGCCTGCTTAAGATTCTCTCTCTCTCCTCCCTCAGCCCCTCACCCTCCTTCTCAATAGATAGATAGATGATAGATAGATAGATAGATAGATAGATAGATAGATAAATAGATAGATAGATAAAAATTTGAAAAAAATGTCATTGGAGGAAAGTGAGAGTTCAGGGTGGTGATGGTGAGAGGGGGAAATTGAAGGACTCCGTAAAAAAACACTTTCTGCTCCCTTTCCTTCTATTCTTGCTAGGACCAGCACCCCCACTTTATACATGCCTCAGAATGCACATAGTGTATGTCCTGCATGTAAGGGGCAAGGACTTAATGGTTTCTTTAGAAGAGAGAACATCTAAGGAAGGACCAGGTGAGAATGACCAGACGAGGCCATCATATGCATATTCCAAACCACCAGGACTAAATATCTCCATGCCAAGGTCCCCTGGCTCCAAGGAATAACACCGGTTCCTGGATGCCTGAGAGGACACATACACCAGACCATGATCTTCAATAAAAAACCCTAGGCCCCAAGCAAAGACAAGACTAAGACTCCCTCCCTTCCATTCTGAGTGTCTGGGACTCTCTGTCGGTACCCGCTTTCTCTCTATACCTTCAGTAAACTCTCCTTTCACCTCCTGCTGGCTTGCTTTCCTGCATACAACCGGGGACCCTCTTGGCTGGTCCTGCAGGACACCCTCTGGGTCCCTGGACCTGGCCTGCTGGCATCAGTGATTTCCCACTGGTTAGGTTATGGTAATTTCTTTTTTATTATTATTTTTTTGTTTTTGATAAATACTTTAATATTTTTAAAGGTGAATCTTTTAAATAATAGTAGTAGTAGTAGTATGCCAGTAATATATTTTTTTGGTAATTTGTTTTGTTCTTTTTAAGTTTTTATTTAAATTCTAGTTAGTTAACAGATACTATAATATTGGTTTCAGGAGTATAATTTAGTGGTTCCTCACTTTACATATAACACGAAATGCTCATCACAACAAGTGCCCTCCTTAATACTCATCATCAATTTAACCCCTCTCCCACGACCTCCCCTCTAGCAGCCCTCAGTTAGTTCTCCATAATTAGGAGTCTCTTAT